TTTTTCTTTTGTTATTTTTGCTTGTACCAGCAGCTTAGGGTAATAGCTGCTTATGTCATAAAAATGTCTTCCTATCATGTCAAGGATTTTGCTTTTAAAATTTTGGTTTACAAATTGAGAGGGAAGAAATTTTCTCACTGTAGATTTCTATCATTGAACACATCTCCACCAAAAGAATAGTAGGTTACAACATGAAGATGATGAAGTAATAAATGTGAGGTCATGCTTTTTAAAACCATGAATCAGATTTGAATGAAGAATGCCTTCCACATCCTTGGAAAGCCTTGGCTTAGGTTTTAAAGTCTTCTGAGAATGCAGTATTAAGATCCTATTATTATAAGCAAGATCAGACTTAATACGTATGCCAGAACTAAGAGCTAATTCGTTCATTCTATGTATACCATTAAAGAGATTAAGCTAGGTGCATTGTGGCTCACTCCTGTAATCCCACACTTTGGGAGGTCTAGCTGGGAGGATCACTTGAGGCCAAGAGTTAGAGACCAGCCTGGGCAACATAGCAAGACCGTTTCTCTACAGACAATAGAAAAATTAGCCTAGTAGGGTTGCGCGTGCCTATACTCAGAACTATTTGAAAGGCTGAGCCAGGAGGATTACTTGAGCCCGGGAGTTTGAGGTTGCAGTGAGCTGCGATCATGCTGTTGCACTCCAGCCTGGACAAGAGAGTGAAACTCTGCCTCAAAAAAAAGAAAAAAAAGATTGAGCAAGTGCTGCTGCTGCATGGGGACGTTTTTCTTTTCTTAAGATTGGACTCCCCGGCTGGGTATGATGTCTCACTCCTGTAATCCTAGCACTCTGGGAGGCTGGGGCGGGAGGATTGCTTGAGATCAGGAGTTCGAGACCAGCCTGAGCAAGAGCAAGACCCCGTCTCTACTAAAAACAGAAAAAAAAAATTAGCCAGTCAACTAAAAATAGAAACAAAAAAATCAGCTGGGCATGGTGGCTCGTGCCTGTAGTCCCAGCTGCTTGGGATGCTGAGGCAGGAGGATCACGTGAGCCCAGGAGTTTGAGGTTGCTGTGAGCTAGAATGACACCACGGCACTCACTCTAGCCCGGGCTATAAAACGAGACTCTGTCTCAAAAAAAAAAAAAAAGATTGGACTTCCCAATTTTGAAATTATGAATAAAGACCACTTTCTATAGTGGCTCCTTTTCTGTCTGCATATTCAGTTAAAATTGTGGATCTAAAAGCCATATCCTATCCCTGGTATAGTAGGAATGGCTTGTTCCTAGTTCTTCAAAGGTGAGCATGACCACAGCAAGTTCTCATTTGTGGTCTGTGTTTACCTGTATTATGTCAAGATTTTAAAAATCATGAAAACAAAAGCATTCTTGCCCTTTTTTGTGTCCGTGAAGTGGTCATATCAGTGTCATGTTTATATGAGAGGGTATCTCATTCAGTTTTTCAAAGTGGAATTATGTTACTTAAACACTTGTATGATTTTCCCACTGAAAAATATAATTTTCTGCTAGCCTTATTTAATTT